TTGATGGATGTATGATGGATGGATGGATGGATGGATGGATGGATGGATGGATGGATGTATGGATGTATGATGGATGGATGGATGGATGGATGGATGTATGATGGATGGATGGATGGATGGATGGATGGATGGATGGATGATGGATAGATAGAAGGTTGATGAATGTATGATGGATGGATGGATGGATGGATGAATGTATGATGGATGGATGGATGGATGGATAGATAGAACGTTGATGGATGTATGATGGATGGATGGATGGATGGATGGGGGATGGATGGATGGATGGATGGATGGGGGATGGATGGATTGATGGATGGATGGATGGATGGATGGATCGATTATGTATGAATGGAACATGAGTGGATGGATGGAACATGAGTGGATGGATGGATGATGGTAGTTGATCCCTTTGTCATCCAAATAAAGAATCAGGCTAAAAAGTTCATAAAAAAGTCCCCCATTCATAATCCTAGGTTATTATTATAATCATAAATCCTGAATAAGACCATTTGTTGAACGTTTGTGGTCATAATGGTAAATATTTATGTTAAAATCCAGAATGTATGTGAGCAGAAATCACAGAGGTCTCATTCTGGCTTAATGAACAGCTCACTGTCTGGAAAGTTGCCCTCACAGCCTATATAACCATATATTTATGACTACAGGCCAATGAATGAATGAATGAATGAAAGAAATCTGCTGGTTGTTTTGAGCAACAGTAAAATCCAATCAGCCTTAACTGTGTCAGCCTTTCAGAGCCAAACAAACCCTCTCTGTGTGCCAGCGCTCTACCTGTGGACGGTGTTGTAAAGCTCGCACACATTAACAGCCTTTATGGAGCGTTGAGAAAGTTCCTTAACAACCAGTATATTCAACAGGAAGACACGCCCTCGGAGCGTTTGAGACAGAGGCAGCCTGTCTCTGAGTCCCTTTCAGACCCGAGTCCTCTCCAGTGCAGAGAAGCTACCTGCCGATTATTATCAGTGAGGATAGAAAGAAGACGATTCCGATAAGGGAAAGAAAGGAGGAAGAGCGTCATGGCTGAACACAAACAATAACAGTGTGGAAGAGAAAAGGGCGCTCCTGTTTCTGGATGATCTCAGCGTTTTAGAAAAAAGGGAAATAAAGATGAAGTCACATCAGATTCCTGACATGCAGGGATGTCATGATTGTAGTGTAATGCTGGCAGCTGGGGTGGTGCTCTGATAAAGAGGGGCCCGGGCTCCAGCAGGAAAAAACGGCTCCTCACCGTCGATTTCACAACACCTTCCTCCTTTCTTTCTGTTTTGTTTATCCTGCTAATGGCGTTCCGTTATCGCCGATTGTTCTGCTTGTTTATAGCTTTATGATCCTGTTACCTCATTTTATCTATTGCTGTTATATTATTATGATCAGATTCTATCTTCATAACCCGAAGCCTCATCTAAAGGGGTGTTTTGTTGTTTATTTTTCACATGTTTTGTTTTTGTTTTTCAGCTTTTGACTCATTTTCTTCCTTTAATTCATCTTTTGAATTGTAGTTCAATATATAAATATGTTGGTGGTGATTTTAGGAACTTTTTATGGATTCACTGTTTCTGTTGTTCTTCAAGAGTCCTTCATTGTTTCTAACATTTGTCTCAAACTTGAAACCTGTTGTGTTGAAAACAGCTGCTTCCACATCTGTTCATAATTTGTTCTTTTGCATGGATGAAAGTTTGATTTTAGAAGTGGAGAGGATGCCAGTATTTTGTAATATAACAGAGTTCAGCGTGTTTTCTAGTTGTTATTCTGTGTTTGTTTCCTCCATTTTCTCTTACATCTCTGCTTTCGCTCTCCTGACAAAATATTGGATGCATGACCTGAACAATTGGACAATTTGTGGTGCAACAATCCATGTAGATTAAAAACACATAGTTTTACAATTATGAGCATAGATATATAAAATCACATTTATAGATTGTATTTTTTCCTTTTATGATTATATTAATAATATATAACAATAATACATTTGCTTTATCAGCACTTTTAATAAAAAAAAATGCTATACAAGGTTACTGAAAGCTTTAAAATGCGGTAAAGGATCTTGAAGTGGATCTGCTGCTTTATGGCGCCAGTGGAGGTGTTTTAGGAGAGGTCCATCCTCTTATGTCTCTTTCTTTTTTCAGACATTCTGGCTGCAAGCCTAATAACCAAAAACACAAACAAACACATGCAAGCACATGGGCCAATACACCTGATATAACAACCAGAGGAGGCTGGTGGAGTTTCCTCCAAGGGGGCTATAAATTCAAAATAGACGTATACCCAAAACCAATCAAACATATACTAAGTTACCACACCAGTATATTTATATGAATACCAACACAAACAAACATTATAAAAAAACATTTATAAAAACAAAACAGAATTCATGTACTTTTATGTACTTTTTGTACATAAATCTTGGCCTTATGAGGCTTTGTGAAGGTAAATCTGTGTTTTGCATGGTCCAATATTATTCCAAGAACCAAAAAAAGAATGTGCCAGTTTAATAATGGAGAAGCTATTAGTCAGATTTATATTTTTTTTATTTATAAAAACTATTTATTTTCTGAGAATATTTTTATTTAAGAGCAACTATGCAAACTAACAAACATCTAGAAAAAGTACACTATATTATATTGTTTTCCATGTGAATCCCAGATTGTTTATTCTTTGCCTTTTCTAGAAAGTGTTTTAAATCAGTCCTACCTGTCTTTATCCATGCTGGGTCAGATCCTGGTATTTTAAAAAGGAGGCAGGGAAAGTAGGATAAAGCTTTAGCCTCGCTGCATGCAGTTAGCCAAGCCTTCTTGCTAAACCGGGTCCTGGAAAGGGACGTTTCTTGCACCATTTTTCTCTCTCTCTCTCCAATACGTCTCCAACTCCACCGACTTAACCTGTCAATCACCTACAAAAAGTCTGCGCTGTGGCGGAAGGTGGTGAGCAAAAACACTTCCTGTTACCTCAGGTCGCAGCTCTCCTGCACCCCGAGCTCTTCTATACCTTTGTATTGCAGAGGAGCTACTGCGCATGTACGACGAGAGTCAATGGGCAAAGATTTTTGCGCCTTAGGCCGAAAATATGTCAGCAATCTGACGAAAAAAGGAAGGACACTTTACTAAACGCTTTACTTAAAGATTAAATATTTATCTTGCAAATCTAAAAAATATATACTCATATATTTCAAATTGGAAAATAAAATAAAATCTTGTTTTTTTCTTTTTTTATGTCTTAGTTAGGGTAATTGGGGTGCCCTAGCGCCCTCTACTGATTACAACCGTTTTAGATTACGTGACCCAAGAGATAAATGCAGACTCATTTACCTAATTTACAGCAGACTCCCTCACCAACTATCGTCTTTTGAGACCCACGTTTTTCTACAAGAATCTGGATTGTTTAAGTTATCTTAAAAAACATGTGTACTGTAACGTGAAATTGGTTTTGGACAGTAAAAAGTCCAGGGGACATGTCCCCTTTGTCAGAGTGCAGAGTTCTTATTAAACCCATTGAGTCTAATGTTTTTGGACCAAGAAACATTGACTAAATTAAAAAGGTGATTTAACATCATTATACGATACAATCAGTCAAACACTTTAGGAATGAAATGATTTCACAACACACACACTGGCTATTTATTTTTTAAATTTATTTATGCTTTTTTCAGCAGTAATTACTTCAACTATTTTGCTCAGTGAGAAGCAGCCAATCAGATGTTAGGGTTTCTGTGGAAGCAGTCCTAGTCCCGCCTTCTTGGCTTTGATAGATGCTTGACAATTTAACATATTTCATGGTTTGCTTGATTTCAGGAACATAACTGAATTTATTATATCATGAAATTATTATATTTACCTCTTAAACTGTCATTAATACTTACACCGAGGCTCAAAAAATTGATATTGGATAAATTCTTTATTTATTTCCACTTGTAATAAATCAATGGCATAATTTAAATCACTTTTTATTGTATAGTGCAATTGGTCACCCTACATGTCACAGTATTTTATTTACATGGATAAAATTTAAAAATCTTACAGTAATTTTACTGCTTTGTATTTACATAGAAAATATTCTGTTGTAACAACTAATTGTGGATCCGTTGATGCAGAGCAGTGATTTAATTTTGAGATTTTTAAAACAAGAACCCATCATATCCAAGCATTTCTGTGATTTTCCTTTTTTTTTTTTTTCACGGTTCTGCGACTGTCATGAAATCAGGTCAAAATAAAGTAATTTTCATGTTAGAAGGTTTTTAATTTAAAAAAGCTTTGCACACAGAAGCAACGGGAGGTTTCATCAGTACTAAAGCAGCAACAGATGCTCAATGCTAATGTTTTGAAAATGATAGAAAAACAGGTTTAATGGTTTTACTTCTAGGAAACAAATGGGCCTAAAAATGGTCGCTACGGTAATTGTTTCCCATTAAAGACAGAATAATTTTTTAAATCCTGGTTTTCTGAGGATAAACTGCAGAAACCTCCCACATTCATTCATTCCGGCTCTCCTTCCCGCTTTTCCTGTTTTCTCCCCATTTCCAGTCATTTCTGCTCCCGTCTTGTTTCTCACTCAGGTGTTTGTCGACTCTTTGAAGGAGCTGTAGATTTTCCTCCCCGTTTTTTTTTTTTTTTTTTTCTTCATCCAGTTTCTGATTTTGGCCCAAAGCCCGCTCGACGGCCCTCACAGAGATGGAAAAAGTTACCGGAGGTCTGGGTTGTGGGACCAAATGTTTTTGCACGTGAAGCTGGCTGAATGGCCTCAGTGTTTCTAAGGAGCCGGCTTTAATAATTCATGAGTCGTTGGTCCTGTTTTTACTCCTGATGTATGTTTTTGTTTGTGTTCAGATGTTGTTTTATGCTGCTGCATTATTTGAACCTAAAATTCTCTTTTTAATGTCATTTTATGACTTTATGAATGCAGATCCTGTATTTAAAAAAGCTTGATTAGATGGGAATAAAAATAGCTGAAAGGTGCTTTCTTTTTATCTGTTGTGTCTGCAGAGATCTCAGCATGAATAACCTGACTGTGGTGTCCAGTGGAGCTCTATCCAACCTGCACTTCCTGGAGGAGCTGTGAGTCATTTTATCTTATGTTTATCTCCTGCAGAAATGATCTTACCTCACATGAAACTTAATATGTGATCTCAGCAGTGAAATATAAGCAAGTATTCAATGGGTATTTGAACTATGTTGTGTCAATTATTAGATTTTCATTGAAGTTTCTAATTCTTAAAGTTTTTGTGTGTGAAATAATTTTTCAGAGCTTTGTTTGGCCTGCAGCTGTTGTTTTTATTGTCAGGGTTTCTGGTTTTTGGTAAATAAAAATCCTCATCTCCCGACATTACTGCATGGAGAAGCACCTCCTGCAGCCACAAGTCTAGGACTTTTTTGTTGTTGTTTTTCTTGCATCTTTTAGGAGGAAACTTGTCTGACTTGCTGCAGTTCTTTGAGGTTTGCAGACGTTTTTGGCTTTCTTCTCCCTTACCATTCATTCGAGGTCCAGACTTTAACTGGACAAGCTTGATTCTTTTCATTTTCAGTTATTCCATTGTATATTTACTGCTGTTCTGCTGATGACCCAGTTTGAACCAAAGAAGAAACTACAAATCAAGCCCAGATCATCACCCCTCCTCCTCCGTGCCAGCTGATATGAAGGGTTTAGTTTTTCCCAAAACATAGAGCTGAGCATTATGGAGGATTGCTAGAGGTCAGACTCTATCTTTCCACCGTTTTGTTTTGTTTTTGTTTGTTCTTTTTAAGTGTGATTTCTAAATAACTGTTATCTTCCATGTTTTTTGAGGTTGTTTTTCCTCACTTTACCTGAAGTTAAATTATCACTTATGTCTTATAATGCTGTTAAAGGCTAAGGTTGTTTAGCCTTTCTATTTAGATAATTTTTATTTTTTTAATGTTTCCATATTTTACATGCCTCTAAGTGTCTAATTGGAATTCATTTTCATGCATTTATCTTTAGACTAATTTTTTTTTTTTTGTCGATCTATTTCAAATTGTTTTAATTGTTTTATAGCACGTTTTTTGCCAGTTCATCGGGTACCACTGTCCTGCAAGTTTTAGCCGTCTCCTCGCTTCTCACCTGACTAACATGAAGGAATGATTAACAGGCTTCTGCACCACTCAGTGTCTGCTGAGGAGCTCATGCAGTGGTACTTTAGGAAATGAATATATATTATTAAATAATTTATTCAATAATTATAAAGGAAATAAACACATAATAAATTGTGCAATATTATTCACAATATTGATCACTCTTAATATTCATGTTTTCTACTTATTATTTGAAGCCTTTTTTAAATTTCTAATCTGTTTTCTTTTTATTTCCCATATTGCCATGTGGTAGCTCTTCTAATATATATTTTTTTATCATTATCAACCTTCATTTTTTTCTACTTCAAGTAATTTTTCTAAACATAAATCATCGGTTCCCCCCTATTTGGGGTTATTGGTGTATTTCAGTCACACATCTTCTTTAATGGCTGCAGTGATCCATAAACATCCACCTGGTCATCCAGAATGAAGATGCAGAGCATATTAGGTGAAATATCTGAGGATGAGTAAAGGTAGATAATGCATCTGATCTGTGGTCAGTGACCATCGGAGGTCTGAAGTTTGGGTGTCTGAGCGGGCAAGCAGATCAGATATCTTTAAGGATGCGATGTGTAATCTCATCTCTCCTCACCTCCCAGCAGCGTCGTGTCAAGTATGAGCGTTTTCCCAAAGCCGGGCCGGACTAAATTAAAAACCATCGAGGCAGCTGGGAGAGACGGGCTGACCTCACTGAGACCTGAACATGACTCTGGCCGATGTTCTGCTCTGCTGCCAGCTGTGTGTGTGTGATATTTGTCACGGCGGCATGAGAAACGTCACTACGGCGATAGGACACCGCAGGCACTCCGAGAGGCTGAACTCTGCATGGCCTCTGAAAAACAAACAGACCTGCAGGATTCATTATCCCTCGCTGTTTTTACTCCGCTTTGGAAGTCCAGGCTTACTGGAAGATTCTTGCAAACACAGAAATTAAAACCTGGCCTGAATTCAGAGCTCCTCAGGATGAGGTCCCTTATAAAACTATAAATGCATTCAGAACTCGTCCACGTTTTATCACCTTCCAGCCACAAACATCCATGTTTTTTGCTTGGTTTTTCCTGTCATATTTGTATAAGGAAAAAGAAGAAACGTGGTTTTACAACACTTAGAAATCTCATCCCTTTACTCCGATAGCCCTAAAATAAATCCAGTGTCATAGTTGCCTTCACAATTAAATTATTACTTTCTCATAGGCAGGTCGGAAAATCTGAAAAATTGGAACTGAGAAAGCGCAGGCCTCCACCAACCAGCTTATTTTCCTGTGTCACCATGTTAAAGCAGCATTTAGCAATATTTCATTATTTCAGATTACAACTGTCAAGGCTCAGAACAGAGGATCCAGGATTTAAGGCAAAACAGACAGTGGGATTATTCGAAAAGCATTTATTTAAAACCGGATCTGCAGTAGCAGAAACCTCTGCAGGAGAGAAACACCAAAATAATCTGATGGAGAATGGTTATGAACACGTGAGTCACTAACCTGGTTTGACAGTTTAGTCTGTGCCCAGAGAAGGTTTATTCCAGCCGGTCGCAGTGGACGCTGACAAAGAGGTCAAGATGATGAAGCCTTCAAGGCTGCAGAACTGGCAGGAGGTGAGATCCAAGCAGACGAAGAAAGGCAGGATAATCCATGTCGAAGTCAGAAGGCAGATCCAGGTTCAGTCCAGAAGAAGAATCTGGCAGCAGTCCGAGATAGGTCAGGCAAACAGATCAGAACAGGGGCAGACGGGCTCGAAGGTCCAAAAGCAAAACGGGTCAGGATGTAAACAATCTGAACACAATCAGTTACGCTAGAAAACTCTAACACCAAATGCTCAAGAATAAGGCAGGATGAGTGAGCAATCAAGCCAGTCATCAAACCAAGATCATGACGACAACAACCTTAAAACAAAAAAGAACTACAAATGTACTGAATTGGTGCTAATGTGTCCATTGGCTTGTCTCCTACATGATAATCATAACAAATTATGTATTTTTGTTAAACTCTGTAAAAGGAGCTGTGCTTAGACATCCTCTCAAGCAAAGGATTGCATGAATTGATAGCAGATAGAAACGTCATGAGGCCGGGCATACACTGCGTGATTTTTATTTTATTTCTTTCAATTGTTTCACGCACCTACAGCTCCCACTGTACAACGGGTTTCGTCGTACAATGCGAGTTCACAGCTTACGATGTATGTTCTCACACTCTGCGCTCCGACGCTCCTGCCCACACCGTACATCTAAAAACTATATCGGACTCAGCTCCGTAGTGAGATGGCGCTACTCGAAATGAGTAGAAGAGGAAAATGAAGCTCATTAGAGATAAACTGCCTTGGTAATTTGTGCAACTTTGTGCTGAAAGCCCTAAAAAGTAAAGATGACGACATATTTGAACAAAGACATGGCTTAGCAAACGTGGCTACTACGGTCTGTCAATTTTACAGAAAAAACTCCATTTCACTTGCACCCCCGCCATGATTCTGTGTTTTCATCTGAGAGGATGAAGAAGAAGAATCACTGTTTGTGCACTGAGCGATTTGCCCTAATGGCCGACTGAATTTCAAACCTCACGATTCCTGATCAGAAAAGGCCAGCAAATCGTACAGTGTATACCCAGCTTAAAACTGCAGTCTGTAACATTGAGAAGAGAGCAGACTTCGACTGAAAATTTGAAGAAAAACAGGTTTCACGCCACTCCCCCACCCTCTCTGCTTCACTCATGCCCCACCTCCAAGCTCCACCCCTCTCACAGCATCTGCGCGGCTACCGCATGCGACCAGAAGGGGGGGGGGCGGGATTCAGCGTGTGTGAGCTGTGATTGACACTCCATCAGACGCTCCTCTGGCTGTGATTGGTTGTTTTGACTCGTCCCGAATTATTCTTTCCAGATTGAAATACAGGCAGTAGGCGGGACCAATTGAAGCAGTTTTTTTCACAGGTTACATATCACATGTACTGCTGTCTGGGCATAGGGACAGTTTTAGCCAATATGACAAAAAAGTGATTTTTAAAAACTTACAGACTTCAGCTTTAAGGAACTATGATAGAAGGCATCCTGCTTCCTCCTTCTACATCCCTCCTAACTGCTTGCTGTATTCAGACAGCACTTATCATGGTGACCAGTGATACATTTCCACTTAAGTGTGCAAATGGTGCATTCACACCAAGCGTGTTTTGAAAGTCAAAAAGGCTTGGCATGTAAAACCAGACAGCCTGATGCTCAAAATGCGTTTACTGTGAACACACCATTACGGATTTTCACGATTTGAAATTAGGATCTATGTCCACTAATAGCCAGGGTAGCTTAGGTTTGATAAATGTCTTTAGTTACTTTCTCTAGAGATATAGTGCTACCTTTCGGAAAAGTGCTAAAAAAAAATCATACCTTATTACAAGGTTAAGGAATCCTTTAAAAAGTTCTGTCTGTGAAACTGTTTCATGATGCCTTCCATTTGCATTTAACCGTCTGAGAACAACATTAAATCATAGTTTTTTTCATTACTATGGTTGGAACAGTGGCCACAGTGTCCAAATATAAAACATGAAGAAAAGTGTCCATGAGCAGAAAATAATACCATCACCTTGGAGATTACTTCATTTCCCAGTTCGGAGGTAAATTGGACGCATCGTTACAGATGAACCGTGGGCTGTGATGTTGACGACAGCTGTGCAGTTCTGACCTTTAGGAAAATTAAACTGCAGTACCCATATTTTAATCCATAGGGGGCAGAAATTAGACCCTTTAACATAAAAATGTCAATATTTTCTCTAAAAAGAAACTAAAAAATCAACATTTTTGTGGTTTAGTTAATTATCATTGAAGGACATTGATGGTTAAAATGTGGAAAAGCAACATATAATGCACTTCAATATTTTTATTGTTCCTGAAAAGGATGTTATTCATTTTTTTTAAATGTGTAATAAAGGTTTCTTGGTCTTAAATGGACGAGTGGATTGAGGAAGAGAGAATTTTATTAATGTTTTATGAAGGACTTATCAGCAATGTTTATGAAGTGAAAATCAGGGCAGTGATTGTCAGGATCATTAATGTTTGCACTGTTGTTTTCTAATAAAGGCAACATTATAAATCTACTCCTTTGTTCCTCTTACTTGAGTCCCTATGGCACAGAGGAAGACCTTTCTGACTAAATCAGAACTTTTCTCGTTCTTGTTTCTGTCTCTCAGACGTTTAGCAGGAAACGATCTGTCCTTCATCCCCAAAGGAGCGTTCAACGGCCTCTACAACCTAAAAGTGCTGTAAGTTCTCAGATGTTTATAATCCAACACTTCTTATCACTGTGGAGGTTTTCAAAAGGATAATTCCTACAAGATTTGAGTTCAGATTCATTCATTTTTCTTTTCACGCTGAAAATTAACTGCTATGCAGCTTTTTTTTCTGTTTCTTTACTAAATTTTTAATGTTTTTGTTTTTACAGTATGCTGCAGAACAACCAGCTGACTTCTGTTCCTGCTGAAGCCTTTAACAACCTTCACAACCTTCAGTCACTGTAAGACATGTTTGGCTTTGTTCCTTTACGAAGGTTTTAGTTCTGCTTCGATGCAACAATATTTGTTTCCTTAAATAACAAATTTGTAATTTATCCTCCATTTTTATTTGATAAAAAGACTGGAATCTCTTTATTTTCCAACACCATGTTAACCATTTCATGCCCCTGCTTATTACAGTAATATCTGACAAGAATATGTAAATAACATAGAAGCATTTGAAATTTAAGGATTTTATTGACTAAGAGAAAAACAATCCATCCAACTTGGCAGTAACTGGAAATTAGGCTTTTTTTCTCCAACTCTTCTTTGCAGAATAGTTTTTTTAAGCATGAATGGCAGTTTTTAGAGTAGCCAGATTTATATTCAAGTCGTAGGGAAATCATATTTAAATGTCAAATTATTCTGGCTTAAACATGTTTATAAATATACTCTTTATCAGACGATATTGTTCCAAAATTTAGAAAACTTCTATTAAAAAAAAAGAACCCTGCTTGAAACCTGTGTTTTATTTGTTATTTTATGCAGGCCAGTTAGTTATACGTCAGCTTGAACACCTAAATTCGGCCAATCATATATCAACTGTCAATCAAATTTTTTCGGTTCATAGCATCTTGATTTGTACGTCGCAGCTAATATACGCAACGGTTGAAATAAAAAATATGAATCATTACTGACTTTACCATTGAGGGTAGGGACACAATGCAAATCCATCACAAACGTCGCCGGACGCATCCGCCACACGGCTTTGCAGCGCAGGGCTGCTGAACGTGCGTTTGGTGAACACTGGAAATGCTTTGGTTGTGAATGCACCACATTGTTTAGGAATATCAGTGGCCTTACATTTCAGCTTATTTCATCCTTTAAACTCACAGGAAAAGATTGTCCCAAACTCACACACCCATGATAACCTATGGAGCAGACAGTGTGGTTCTCTCAGCCTGATTATACACAGTAATTATACTGAAACTGTACCCGTGTGTGTCTATGTGTGTGTGTTTTTCAATAAGGCTTTAAGAACGGAGATGTCTTTAGGACGAAAGTCTCTAATTTATCTGATGGACGATTATGTGAAGTCCCATCCTTCTCGTCTCTCTGTGTCCAAACAGAGGAGCCTTTGTTAGGATGGACGCTCAGACAAACCCAAAGCTCTTTACATGTTTCTGCAGCCAAATGAAAGCCTTGTTGGGTTTTATAAAGCCATAGGAGGCAGAGCCACATTAATAAAGAAAGGCGACTCCTGCTTTCACAGAAATTATTATTTATAAAAGCAAAGGCCTGAGATATGTTGTTGCTACCAGAAAAGCCTGAAGCAGGGCCTGGATCCCAGGCTATTAACTCCTAGTCCCACTGGATATAAAGGACTGGGGAGAAATAATTGTTTTATCTATTAAAATGGTATGGTTTACAGCAGGGGTAACCAAGACCTAAATCCAGTAAAAGTCCTGTGGCATAACATTGTTTACAAACCATCCAATCAGAGCTTGAACTGTTGTGCTAACTAGAACAGGAAGTTGTTCCCCACGTCTTGTGTGTCAGAGGAGGCAGAGCTGCAACAGTGATGTGAAAACCTTAACCAATTAAAAATCAGCGGGTTCCGAATGAAGAAAATCAACAAGCAGTAAAGTTCCGGAGACATTTTTTGTTATAATCCGTTACATTAAACAGAATAAGAAGGAGAAAGAAGAAAAACCACTGAAATAACATGCAGGTTTTTATGTATTCATGTTATACATTGACTTTTAAAATAAAAAAATAGAAAATTTTTACCATTTTAAAATCTAAAGTGTTTTTTGAATTAGAGAACAACAATCGTTCAGTTTGCTGTATAGACAATTTCCTGATTCCCATATTTTATAAAACACCTGAACTGACTGACCGTTTGTTATTTTATTCTGTCTTAATGTTGGCAGTGGGCTTTATGCTGCCCTGCAAGGCTTTAAACCTGGTTTGAATGGAGACAAAGCCATTCTAAAGCACATATCAAGGAGCTCATTTTGAGCCTGGATCCATATTTATTTTTGATTCTGTTCATGGTGGAGAAACCTGCTTCACAGCAGCAGGTTGAGCCAAACATCCTCATCACCTTTGAACATGCCATTTCACTTCTCTTTTACCAGTTCACCGCAGTTCTTCCAGTGGGTCACACTTTAGGGCTGGTTATACTCCCTGCAGCAGATTTATGCTCAATTTTGAAGCGTGGTCTGTGCCACAACGTAAGACAATCAGGAACTAGCTGTGGGTCTAGATACGGCCGAGGCAATGAGGAAGTGGGGGCAAGATTGTCCGACAACGGAGGGACATGAGGGTGAAAAAGAGCGGGAATCCAGGTGGAAAAAGGGTCTCAGCGTTCTTGTGCACCTCGCTCTTCTAGCTGGTCCATCTTCACGAGTAATTTTCCGCAATTGTGGTCATTCAAACAAAACAAGCCGGCCTCCTGTCTGCGGTCACCTACAATTTGGTAGAGGTGCAGCAGAGTGTCTGTGGAGGGGGCGGGGACGTCTCTCCGTTCACCCCTACACCCACGCAGACGACCTAGTTTCGAAGTATAAATCAGCCTTTTCTCTGCTGTCTTTTTCTCATCATCTTCTCCTTGTTTCCCATAGCCCGGCTTGTCACAGGTTTGCCTGCTGTGTCTAAAAGTAGCAGCAGCAGCAACCCAGACTGACAGCAGCTCATTGGATCATTTGTATCACGTGTAGCCTGGTGCTGACGCTCTGAAAGGCTTTACCGTATTAACAGGAGAAGAGGCGCAAGCAAAGTTAGACACTGTTGTCAGACAACATGCGTTAATTTTTTAATGTTTTAAATCAAGTTGGGTCTGGATCCGGACCGTAGTCTGCTAATCCGTGACCTCTGGTCTAAATTATGAAACGGTGTGGAAAGAATGCAAATAAACTAAATAAAATCAGTCTAAAAAATGAAATTTGAAAAAGATAACAATTGAAAAACTTTTTTCAATGAAGTTTTTCGAAGTTTCACTTTTAGTTTTTGTTAAATTTACTTTCACAAAATGCTTTTATTTCTTTTTTTCTTTTTTTGCATTTACAAAACATGTTCTTTGCTTCTAAAAATAATGAAACAGAATTCACTTCCTAAAGAAGGAACACAAAGATTCATGTTCTTAGAAAACAGTCTTTGCAAAAAGAAAAAAAATGAGTGAAGAAAGCTAAAGAGAAACAAATGAGGCAAATGTTAGAATAGAAATTGGTTTCTAATTATGTTATGTTTGAAAAAAGCTTTCCATAGAAACGGTATCCTGATAAAATCTCGTTAGTGGGACCTGAGAGCTGTCTGGCTGCTGAAGAGGCTGTTGAGCAGCCTGCCGATCATTCCTCTGCTACTAATCAAACACTCTAAACACTCATTTTCCTCTTAAACTACTTCAGATTTAGTGAAGCCTTTCATTTTGTGCGGTAAGTGAGTGCGGACCTCTTCTAGGAGGGCTTAGAGAGGAAGACGTTTCCTGTTTGTTCCTGGAACCACTTCAAATCTCCTGCTTGACTTTAGATTTGTTGAAAAGAAACCTAAATCTCAAACTATTTAGAGATGCCTTAATGCAGAGCTTTCTATCTGTGTGTGAACTTCACAGCCGTCTGGATGCCAATCACATCGTCAACGTCCCACCCGGCTGTTTCTCTGGACTGCGGTCGCTTCGCCACCTCTGGCTGGATGACAACTCTCTGACCGAAGTCCCGGTCGAGGCTCTGGAAGAGCTGCCGACCCTGCAGGCCATGACGCTGGCCCTCAACCACATCGCTCACGTCCCGGACGACGCATTCAGCAAGTTGGGTCGCCTGGTGGTTCTGTACGTAAAAGAAACGCATGCTGGGGTTTTAATGGGGTGCAGAATGTGATGCAGTCTGAGGAACGTTCACCAGTAAACCATACAAAAACATCTTCAGCAACAGAAAAACGTTTACAGTTCAAAACACCCATTTAAAGGTTTTATCAGATTATTCACAGACGGAACAATTTCTACTTTTTTTTTAACGAGAGAATAAAATAAAACATTTATTTTACACAACTCCTTCTGTATAAATGAATGCATCAATGCGGCAGATCAGCGTGAGCTGTTCTGCAAAGTGTCATTTCTGGTGTCTCACCTTCACCTCAACACCTGCGCTAAATTTCACCTGAAATAAACCATCATCTCATTTGAAGCAGAGTTTACAAAAAAATTATAAATTTGCAGCCGGCTCAACATATTCCAATCAGAACAGATTGATGACCCAGAGTTTCGGTTAGAGTACAACTATATCTAAAAACAAAGGTCAGAATCATAAGTTCAACTCAGTTCTTTGTAGCCTTACCTTTATTGGAAACGCCAGAGGTTTCCTCTGTCACTCACCTGTAGGGTTGCCGACCGTCCCTTAAAAACGGAATCGTTCTGTATTTAGAAATAAAAGTACCTGTCCCGTATTTAGTGGAAAAGGAACGCACGTTGTCCCGTATTAATTTGAGAGTAAAAAAAATAACCAGTAAAAAGCAAATGGAAAATGAAGAACCAGGGCACATTAGATACAAAACTTACGGTAAACTTGTTCCCGGGCTCTGTCCTGCATTGTGACCAATGACCAACATATATGTAACGATCCAGAATACCCTCATCCCATTGGTCGAGCCAAGTGTTGCTCAAGGAGACGACAGAGCAGTATGGGGGACAAACGTAGTAATTGAAATGCTGCAAGAGCACGGAGGACATACAAGTGGAAAAATAAGGCTATCGCCAAATGATGTGGCATCGAGCTAATGATTTTTTTTAGCCTGTTTTTGTAGCCTAAAGTCATTGCATTCAAGGCACAAATATGTTTACAAGTTTTCCCAAGTTTGCTGTTGCACCAAAAAGTTTCACTATTTATTTATTGTTTTATGTTCAATTTTACAGTTTAAAGTTGAGCAGGACAGGCTTATGTTTGAGATACTTATTTTATTCAGCAAAGTTTATTTTGTATTAAAGTGAATAGCTGGATAATAATTTGTTTTCCATGTGTTCATGTCACCCACAAATATGCTTCTAATTTAATGCAGATTTGAGTCAAATAGTTAAAAAAAATTATTTCACACACAAAGGGGAGCTAGCAAACAATCACCAGGCCAGGAGGGATAAAGGCAATCAGCTGGCACACACATGAGGTGTCCCTTTTTTTTTTTTTTTCAGGGAGTTGACAACTCTACTTACCAGGTTTGCTCTCACTGAAGCTCGTATATTGGCCCATTCCTCCATCAGACTTCCATTAGAGCAGCCATGTTTTTTTTTTGTTTTTTGTTTTTTTTTATAAAGGGTTTTTGCGGCACTAGTTGCTCGTTTTTGCAAAGTAAGCTGACTGAAAAGGGGGTACAGAGAGGGGAACAGACATGCGGCAAAAGGATCACGGGTCCTTTCTCGAACCCGGGTCGGTCCCTACCGTGCCACACAATTTCCAGTGATGATTCTGCTTAGCAGTGTGATAAACCTCAACGTCTGTTGTTGTTTCCTCCGTCTGCAAGCCCTGATTAGACTATCGTTTGTCGTATCCACTTCCCAAAAGCCTGACTCTCCGCAAACAACGAAATATCACAATTATAATCAAACTTCATGAATGTTACGGGCGCTGCCATGTTGATTTGCTTGTTTCCCTCTAGAGAGCAGTAGTACCATATATCGCCACTAAGAGGCGACAAACCGTGCTAGCGTGGTGTGTAAATCGGTCGTAGGGAACTGAGCTCAGCACGATAATTGATCCAAGCTCGGTCCGAACTCAGCATGGATGGGTTTTCAGAAGGTCGTGTCTAAATGGGGCTACAGTCTCTGTTCCTAAAAACAATATTTTTTTTGTCTGTAATGCTGAATTGATGCATTAATTTATGCTAAATTAATATAAATGGCTGAGATTTATGACTGTTTACGCTTGTGGCTAAATACTAACTTTAATGATGATCTAATTGTTACAGATTGAATCTACTGAATGTTTGCTGTTCAGAATATAAAATATGTAAGATGTGAAAACTAAATCAGGAGATGTTGAAAGCTATTTGCCTCCCTGTCTGTCCACGTTACCTCTTTAATAACATGCAAGCTCCCCGTTTGTGTCCGTGTGATCGCATTCAGAGCGGCGTCATTGAAGTCCGCTGTCATTTCTTTTGTCCAATCGGCTTGAAGCTAATTTGCATGAAATTACCAAAAGAAAAAACCTTCTTGAGAGGGCCTCAGGGCCCCTTTTTAAAAAGACACATACTCAGTCTTTGTCCCCTTCATTAGTCCATCAGTTTTTCTCGCTTTCTCTGCAGGCATCTCAACAACAATAGGATCGTTTCCATGGGCACCAACTGCTTCCACGGACTCCACAGCCTGGAGACGTTGTGAGTTACTCTGTGTGTTTTTGTTTCTGTTGAGGAGTTGGAGCAGGGAGGGTTAAGTCGGGGTCAGCGAGGCAGATCTCTGCTCCTAAACAGTCCTTCTGATGGACAATCTGAGCTTTCTCTCATCTCTGTGGGTCTTCTCCAGGTTCATGTACGACCCAGGGAGCCTTCTTCAATTTGACTGTATCAAACCCAACATAAATAAGTTAAACATGAAACCACAAAAGAAAAGAAAAACAAACAACAGAGAGTAGATCCTGTTAACATCGGTCTAAAGTAAATGTTAAAATGCTAATTTATTTGTCAGATATTTTTGTTCCTGCATGAATTTAAGCAAATTTCAAACCTAATCGAATATAAACACATTATAAAATGTTTGCAGATTTAGAGCTGGACAGGTGTTTGATGCTTATTATAGCAAATACATTGATTTGACCAAAACTATAATTTCATCCACATCCAGAGAAAACTTTGAATATGTTTATGAAGCAAAGGATGAAACCCAATAAGGAAAAACAGAGGTGGTTATTATGGTAGTTCCAGTGATGATTCCCTGACTTTCACTGGTTCTTTAGCCCAGTATGTTGGGCCTATTATTACTAGTGTGTAACCGATACCGAAACCAGTATCGGGCAGGGCCTCTATCCAGCACTAATATGATGGCATCGGTGAGTACCAACAAATAGGGCACCGATACCATTTTGTGAGCCAAAAGTTTATTCAACTATTGTCTCCCATTCCAGGTAGGCATAAAAAGTTCTACTGGATTCACTTTGTATTAGTCTTTTTCCTGCTTCACAAAGGTAGGCAGCAGCTTCACAAAGCCATGATGGCAATTATTTTACATCCAAGTAGTATGCAGTTCTTCATCTATATACAAAGACACACGCCAATTTCAAACATATGGTATCGGTATCGGCCGATACGGCACAGCCAGGCATCGGGTATCTGTGCCGGGGCCGAAAGATGGCATCGGCGCAACACTACTTATTACCAATGTAGGGGTTAATCACAGATATGATTCCACCCCCCACCCCCCAGGCTCTTAGGTAAAACACTCTCAAAGAGAGAGACTTGAGCTAAAACCGAAACTGAAGTGAGTGGAATGTTTCTCCAGCCACAGCACTAATGGGGCATTTACATCTGAAAAGGGATTCATGAGTTGATAACTACTGCGGAGGGACTGCAGGCTGACGAAAATTCTCGTATCTCCGGGACTTTTAGTGTTAAAACAGATGCTTGTCTGAAGTTTAAATCTCACATTAGAGCTGTTGTAAAATCCTGCTTCTTCAACTTGAGGCAGCTAGCTAAGGTTAAATCTATTCTTTCACCTCAGCATTTTGAAACAGGGGTCCATCCGTTTGTAACCACTCAGCTGGATTGAACTTTATAATTAAACTTTATTGGATTGGAGAATGGAGAAATTTACCTCAGTGTTTAACCCATCCCCCTGGGGATCAGTGGGCTGCCATCATGAGGCGCCTAGGGAGCAGTGTGGGGTTAAGACCCAGTGTGGGAGTGGGGCTCAAACTCAGAACCTCAGGATTCCAAGTTCTATGCCTTACCCACTAGGCCGCCACTCTCCCATAACCGCCATAGTTACTGGATTACTGTAAATAGGGATGGGCGATATGGACTAAAAAATTTATCATGATAATTTCTAGGTTTTACCACGATAACGATAAGTGACGATAAAAAACAAAACAAAAACACAATATCAGCCTAATATATCAAACCAATCAAACAAGCCTGAAATATGAGAACAAATTTGACATTTATTTAAATGCTACACAGCAAATACAACTTGGCTTATAAAAGTTTCAAAGTAGTGCAACTGTAAATACAACCTGATAAATTGAGAAACAGAACTTAAAAGTATTTCACTGAAAATTAAAACAAAAAAATGTGCAAATGGCATGATAAATAAAGGGAAAAAAACAGAAAAATCTAAATAATAAAATAGAAATAATGTCAATAAATTCCAACAAACATGTAAAACCTGAAATACTTTGTGCAAAAATGTAAAAATAAGACTAGCAGCATCGTCAGCATGCTAAACAATGAAATAAAAATAAATAATTTCAATAAAATTAAAAAGAATATAAAAACTGAAATTCTTCTCTGTGCAGCAGTGTATAAATAAGGCTGACAGGAGCATCTGTATGTGCCTTACACCTTTAGATTTTTGGTTAGAAAGACCAGCATATCAACTGGCTGGTTTCAGAAGAGATCGCTGGCAAGTTACCACATTACCTCCAGCACTGAAGACCCTTTCTGAGGCTGTACTTGTTGCAGGGATGCACAGGTACTTCTTTGCTAACTGACTCATCAGAGGGAAATTCACCTCATGCACTTTCCACCATGCAAGTGGATCGCTCTCACTGTCTGCCAGTTGTCCAAATAAATAACTGCTTAGTTCGGCCTCAACTCTGTCACTGTAAGAGACACTGGTGGAGACTTCAGCAGCAGCTGCTTGTTTCAGAAAGCTTCCCAGACTCTTCCTCTGTTTCTTCCTCTGTTGTTTGTCCTCAGTTTCTTGACCCTGGCCTGTTTCAGCAGACTGTGGTGATGTTTCAGAGGCGGCAGCAGCAGCAGCAGCAGGGCCACTTGGCATGGCAGACACAGGTTCCCCCTCTGTGACCACTTTGGCTTTGATGACCTGGATCTCTTCCTGACTTAGGTGCTGTGTACGAAAGCGTGGATCCAGAAATGATGCCATGTTGATCAGCTCCACAACATCTGGGTCACTGTATTTTGTTGTCAGATAGTCCAGTACTGACTTTTTGATGGTTTTGGTGAGATCAGAATCTTCATCCTTCTCCTGTAGAAGCTTGCTACTGAAAAGGTGAAGAATAGGCTTCAGGCATGACACTGTCACATAACTCTCTGAAGAGAGGGCATCTGTGAAATCAAGCAGAGGTCCTAATGCCTTGCTGACAGCATCAAGAACGTCAACATCTTGCCACTTCAGCACCAGATGCCTGGTTGACCGTTCAGCAGCCAGGACTTGTGTGATGGCCTTTTCTTGTTCAAGAAGCCGCTGAATCATCCTCTGCCTGGAGCCCCATCGTGTTGGAGATTCGGTCACCAGTTTATGTTGAGGAAGTCCAAGCTCCTCTTGTGCAGCTTTAAGAGCACGTTGCCTTTTCCAGCTATGTGAAAACAAGCTGACTATCTTCTTGCTGACTCCCACAGCTCTGTCAATCCTGCTGTCCCTCATGCTTCTCTCTGGGGGAAAACACACACACACAAAAACCAAAACAATGAATGATAATTCATACATGCTTCCAGAATTGTGTGATATTAATCATGTCTGTCAGTAAATTGATTTCCTAATTTCTGATTGGGCGATATGTTGTTAAACATGGTAATATTACACATCACGATTGTAAAAAGAAATGTAAAAAGGGCAGGCAGAAATGTAAAAAAAAAATATAAAGGACAAAAAAACAAATAAGGTAAATATTACAAAGGCAAATAAATAAAGAAGCTAATTAAAAGAGTTATATACATTTATGTCTCACTGTATAATTTAATTTCTACTTATATTTATTTGTTGATTGTGTTTTTGTTGGCAATTAATTGTATGCTTATTTATTTATTGAGCATTTATTTCTGTATTTATTTTTAAATATGGCAGAGTTGGTCCTCCATATGTACCAGCGTCCCAGTGCAATGGAATTCTGCTCATGAGGACACAGGTTAAAAGAAAAAAACTTTTAGCTTCAGCAAAAATGCTCTTAACAGAGGCTTTGTTAAACCGCTCATCTTGCTGTTGTTTAGCAACGGTAGATGCCAAGTATAGATTAGAACTTTGGAGTGCGCAGGAAGAATGAAAAAAAAAAATCGATAGAAAACATAAGCTGTGACCTTAAACACAATTAATTGCAAGTAGTACTGTTGAATAAAAATAATGCACACAAATTAGAACACTCAGAAATAAGAAGAAAGGAGACATTATGAGATTTACTCACCAACAGCAATGTGCAGATTATGTCCGAAGCAGGACAGCCTTGTCCACTTGTTCAACGCGACTGCCTTGACAACGTTGGCCCCACTGTCCGTGGTCAGGCACACCTGTTTGGCCTCGTCAAGTTTCCATTCTTGTAAAAATTGTTTCAAACCACTCGCAATATTTTCACCCGTGTGGTCCTCCGGGAAAAAACTTGTCTGTAGGCAGCTGCTATTTAAACTCCAGTCATCCGTTATGTAGTGCACCGTAAGACTGATGTATGGCTCAGTCGCTCGGCTGCTCCACATGTCTGTGGTTGAAGCAAAAAACGTCACTGTTGATAGCTTCGCTTGTAGCCCATCACGGCAGTCGTCATACATCTTAGGCAAGGCTGTTTTGGAAAAATATTTCCGTGAAGGCATCTTATATCGTGCGTCCATTTTGTGGACCATACGCCTGAAACCCTCCTTTTCCACAGATTGAAGCGGCAACATATCTTTAGCCAGGCAAAACGCAACGGCCTCTGTTAACTCTTTCCATCGCTTGCTTTGGCTATCATACGGTGTGGAGTGAGAAAACGCGTCGGCAAGTTTTGTTTGAGTGGCAGTTGGCTTCTTAAAAGAGGTTTTCGTCGAGGCTTCTGCTGCATCGCAGCGCATCTTCTGACTAGCTTCATATTCCGGTTTGTGTTTGTGTTTTAGGTGGTGAAATAAATTTGTAGTGTTGCTGTCCTTTGTCGTCACAGGTTGTCTGCAAACTTTGCATAATACGACTTTCTGCTCCGTATCAGACTTTTTGAATCCAAACCAGTTCCAGATAACAGAGCTGGAGCCTCTTTTAGGAACCAGGTCTTGCGGCACTTCTCCTCCACCTTCCGCCATGCTTGTTGTTTGCGCATGGCTCGCATGTGGGTTGGACTGCAGGTGTGTCACGCCCAGTACACGTCACCGGCGGGAGTTTATCGTTTTTATCGCGAGATGACAAATTGTTACCATGAGGAATTTCTTTGACGATATATCGCACACGAAAACATATCGCCCATCCCTAA